TTGAAAGTTACCAGCAAAGTTTATATGCCAAAAAAAATTTATATGCTAAAAAGTATCAAATAATAAGATGCTCATAATATACGCCTTAAGATGAAGAAAAAAATTTTCAATTTTTTTTCAATTTTCATGATGTTATAATTCAAAAAATTAGTTTAAATCACAATTTTTAACTTGCATGAACTTGCAAAAAAATATGGTATTAAAAGGTATTGACCAAACTATTATTAAATAAAGTGGAATAGAGTGTATTTTTAAGAAATTGAAAAATTAGCTGCAACTTTTTTGCGACTATGGTAAAAAATTTTATTTGAGGTTTGCGCTACCTGGATTATAGCCAATTATCAATATTTTGTTTTCCCAAGTGATAATTGATCAAAAGTCTACATTAGACTTTGCGTTGAATAATCAATTGAAAATGATAATTTACCAATGATAATTGACATTTAAATAGATAATTATTTTCATATATAATATATAATTATATGCTTTAAATTAACATTTCAAGCTTAAAATTAATATAATTAAAAAAAAAAAAATTTTTTTTTTAAGTTTGAAAAATAAGTTGTATATAAATCTACTAAAATAGTAATGGATTATACAACTAAAAATATTATTAGCTGTTTGAAATATTCAACAAAAAAAGCAAATATAAACAATGCTTTACTATTCATAACTTCTAGAGTTTGCAGGTGATAACAAAATAAAAACTTGGTAGAAAAGTTAAATGGAGTTAAATCGAATTGCCAAAAACTTTGGAGAGATTTATTAAGAAACACAAAACCTTTTTTTTTTTAAAGGAACACAAAAAATGTTTAAATGAAAAGTTTGAAATAGACTTTTCATCATTGGAACCTTCACAAACCACCAATAAAAAATGAATTACAAAAAAATTTTGATAATATGAGTAAGAGAAGTAAAGATTGGATAATTGCAGGAAAGCATATAAATTCAAATTTTGATTCAATTGAAAAATCATTACTTATAGACCCATGTTATCAAAAATCATAAAGATTCACATCATATGTTTGTTCAATTGACATAATAATTGAATAATAATTGATGAAGAGTTTCGTGTATCTGGCTATAAACAAATCCAACAGGCATCTAAAATAAAATATTCAACTTAATCAACAGTTGAAAAAGCACTTAAGTTGGGTGGTCCACAAGATAATCACTTGGAACTCAGTGATTTAAGAGTATTAACCAGAGTTGCTATTAAACAGTTATGGTATGGATCTACTAGACAAGCTTTATACAACTAGGCATTTTCCAATTGTTAACAGTCAATATTTAAGCATGCTTTCAATTGTAACAACACCTCTGAGGTTCAGTGTGTCACAAGTTAAACTCACAAAATGACTTTTTGTGTACCAACTTGATGCTCTTAGTATAAGATTTTGTAGACCAATTGAACTTTATTTCATCAAAAAAACTGCTGCAGTTGTTTTAGACAAACATTGTCAAATAGAAAATAAAATTTTGGATTTGCATCTAGTAAATATTGAATTGGTTAGTCGAAAGTTTGTTTTTATTGATTTTAATTTTATTTTGTGCATGATAGACACAAAATAAAATTAAAATCAAGGTATATAGAGGGTAGCTATATATATATATATATATATATATATATATATATATATATATATATATATATATATATATATATATATATATATATATATATATATATATATATATATCTTTGTTATGATTATAACAATTGTGCAAAATTTCAATGAAAACAAATAATATTTAGGGGTCAACCCATTTGATTGTTTTTAGGTTTTATCTCAAATAAAGTAGTTTTTGTTGAATGACGATTATCTATTTAAAACTTAAGATTCAAAATAAAAATTAAGTTAAAACTAAGAAGTTTAATCAAAGTTGTAATTAAAAAATGTAACTAAAAATTATAATCTAATCAAGAATTTAATTTCAAAATTTGACAGCTTTTAGATAAACTGTAACACAGTTCCACAGTGAATAATCTACAACATGTGATGCCTTTGATGGAGTTAGGAATTTTTTGCAATGGTGGTTTCTTAAGGAATGTCTGTGACTTTTTTTTCCCTTCTTCCGTGAGGACATCAAAGATAGATGTCGCCTTTCCTGTCACCAGATCCTCCAATTTCAATTGTTCAGATTCACGTGTCAACTTTACATGCCAAGGGGTGTCTGCCAATGCTGGTCAATGTAGATTTTGTACCATCTTTTTTTTGATTGACGATGATACTCTAAAAGGGCCATGCCAACCAAATGCTCAGAGAGAAACCATGAGGTGAGAGGTGGCATGAAAATGCTTCATGTGCCTTACTGGCAAAGTCTAGTTCGGATTGGTCCTCAGATTTGACAAAAAATTAAATGTCATTGAGAGGGGCTCTGATTCCAAGTGGTGCTTCATTCCATTGTTTGACATAAACAAGACTGACAAACAGAGCTAAATCTGTGATATTCTTGGATTCACATGCACTCAGCTTGAACTGAGTCTTAAAAAGAAAGATTTTCAGTGCGTAAATGGCTTTTGCCATCCATCCAAGGATAAACATAAAAATTCCAGATAATCATCCCTTGGCTGCTGTGCTTCAAGAGTACTTGGTAAATAGACAATCATTTCATGTGGAATCTTCTTCAATTTTGGATCCTGAAGCAGTTCGTCAGTCGCTGTACAATAAACATGTTGGTTCATTGATAGACCTTCAGATGGTCCCAACAGAGACGTAAAAAAAATTAAAAGGACAACTTCCATTACATGATGACAGCATGCAATCCAGACTATTACAGTTCCCAGAGCTTCTTCAATTCTAACACATGCGCTGTTATGAAGTCTTGTATTGCTAGCTGTTGTGTTGAATACAAGGCCTTTGATCTGTGAACGCAGATTCCATTTCTCAATTACTTCAATACATGCATTTGATTGACCCTCTCCTGTTCCTCTATTCATTTTTGGAATAGATAACAGTTTTTCTTAGCCATTTCCAGTAACAATAACAGCTATCCGATCCACATTTTCCTTCAATTCATCTATGTCGGGCAATACTTTGCCATCCCAATGCAACAATAGTGGTCCTGTCAAAGAAAATTTTTTTTCATCTATTGCAGCAGCTTGTTGTCTTTCATTGTCCTTTTTCCCATTTGGGAAAAAATTCTCAACTCCATCAAACACTTCCATAGCAAGAGTTTGCTCCAGCAAACACCAAACTCCATCAAAAATTCCTAACTCCATCAAAATCACTTATGTTGTAGACTATTCACTGTGAAACTGTGGTACAGTTTATCTAAAAACTGTCAAATTTTAAAACTAAATTTTTGATTAGATTATAATTTTTAGTTACATTTTTTAATTACAACTTTGATTTAACTTTTAACTTAGCTTTTAATTTTAATCTTAAGTTTTAAATCGATAATTGACATTTGACAAAAACTACTTTATTTGAGATAAACTAAAAACAATCAAATGGGTTGACCCCTAAATATCATTTGTTTTTATTGAAATTTTGCACAATTGTTATAATCATAACAAAGAACAAAAATAACCTTGTGGACAACTGAATTCTGTTACTTTGTTTTTGTGGACAACAACAGCGCCGGCAACAAACACAGCTTCATGGTCTGGGAGGCAAGCGTGATTCAATGCACCTACAACTTCAGGGGACAGGAAGATATTTTTAAATTTCTTTTGTGATGATGAAGAAAAAGCTGCTGAATCTGTTAATTTTGACGTTGCAGGCGTACATGGCTGAGTTTCAGTTAGCTCATCTCCTCATCTTCTTCTTAATCCAAACTAAGTGTCAACAACGAAAGTTCACCTTCTGCTTCATTAATGCCCTTGGTCATGCGTTCTTCATATCTCATTTTCACCTTTCTCTCTTTTTCCTCTTGTTGCCTCTTCCTGCTTTCTTTTGCTGCTGTTTATATATCGACTCTACTCATGCTGCAAGAAAAAACATCTTTTTGCATGAGAAGGAATTCTCAATCTTCTTCGTTCTGTATTTCTATCATGACGTACTTTGTCACAATATCAAACAATTTATAAAGGTCACCTTTAAACATGTCTTCTTTCATCCCGCCGCTTTCTTGTTCTCGTGTCCGGTGTACCTTTAGAGCCAGATAGTTCTGATGCAGCTTTGACAGTTTTCTGACACATGAGCCAATACTC